AATGTCCAATACAAAAGTTCACGCACCATGCTCAAGTATAGTTTTCTTGTTAATGCAGGGTGCATATAAGTCATCATATCCTTTAGAATCTTACTTTTAGAGACTTAAAGCGTCTAATGAAACATAATTATTTAAATCTCAGAACAAAATTGTCAAGAGCGAAGATTACGTTAAATAAGCTCTCATGAAAAGGCTCATTCCATTAAATAGAGATGAGCAGAGAAGTTATGTTAATTAAACACAAGCTCATAATAGATGGAGTCAAGCTGAACATGACTTCTATCAATAGCTTGACTAAACCATAGTCTTTCAAACGACTGAGTACCAAATGACTTACTATTTCTCAACTCGAGTTGTAAAATCCTGTCTGAATTGTAAAAGGTAACAATCAACTGCTTTATGGAGTTTTATCCTAAGGCGCAATATCCAAATGCTGAAGATGATAAAGAACAAGGCTGTCCCTAGTAAAATTAAGCAACAGGAGAGAAATACTGCTACAGCTGTTTCAGGACCAGCTTCAGTCTAGTGGCAACTAGTTTGCCTTTCAAATTTTTGCTGTTAAAGGCACTTTAATTCTCTACTGACAATACTAGATCACCAAACTCTCCATCATTTCCCTCACAAACCAAAACAATCTTCTTCTAAATCAACAGGCTCATTTTTTACAGCACATCCTACTAACATTAGATTATCAGATTCTCAAAGTTTTTTCCTATATCACTCCAAAACAGAGATTTAGCAACTGAGACGCAGAAGTCAACATTGAAATGTAATAATCCTCAAACCTCAAAACAAACTTAGTAATACTTGAAAAGCCGTGGTGTCAAAATGCAGCATCCACATTAAGCCATTGAAGCCAATGCTAAGACAATCCCTAACACGGTAAAACATTCCGCCTCAATACACTCAACCAGAAAAAGGGTTTCAGGTGAAGTAATTAAAACCAACACTCATATCAAATTAGCCAAATTGGTTATGCTAAAGAAGCAATTTTGGCATCTGGGTTCTGCTTAAATTCTCAATTCAAACACAAAAAAATGAGCAAATTCAGATAAATTCATGTAAGATTAAGCAAGAATTTCAACTAAAGAAAGAGGGCTTTACGAAATTATACTTGGCAGAGGCGAGCAGCAAGAGAACAAGCTTTCTTGGCAGCAGCAAGTTCTTTATCATAAGACATTGTTGCAGCAGCTCTAGATGAAAATCTTGGCCTTTTTGGGGAAAGGGAGAAAATGGGTTTTAATTTGGGTGTTGAGGAATAGTAGCAGTTATGGTCGAAATGCAGAGCTCTAGTCAATGGGTTTATAGTCCCTTTCCCTGATAATGCTGCTGATGATAGTGCAATGGCCATGGCTCTTCCAAACAACAAATTTGTTAAGAAAATGTAGCCAGGTACACCACGCAAGAATCCGCCGAAATTAACGGTAGTTTTTTTTTCCCCTTTTTTCCCCTCCTCTTTTGTTCAACTAAAACTGTAAAAAAGAAATTATACAAAAGAGGTGTAATTTTACAAGTTACAGACGTATTTGCAAAAAAAAAAAAAAGTCATAATTTCTAGAATCTCAATTTTAGCCATTACACCAAAATCCGGTGGGTTTGTTGAGGTTTGTTGTATATTTTGTAAATGTTTATTATAAAACGTAATTATAGAGAAGAATAATAATCAACTAGAGCTACTATTGGGTAAATTTTATATTTTAATTTAATTTTTTTGCTTATTAAAAAAGTCTAGGATCTAAATATGAAGGCGGTTCAAAATGTTAAAAAAATTGATTATCGAAAATCAGAATTTAAAAATTAGAAAACATAATTAACAGGGAACAAAATCTATATATTTAAAGATTAATTTTTTATGCACTTTTGGATAGAGTAGATGTATAATACTATCAAGTTAAACGCGTGATAACCAATTTCACGCATCCAATTAGTCTACAGAAATTTAATCCTATGGCATGCATCTAAACTAGTTAGGGTACTAAAAAATATAGGATTAACTTGTTATACACTATTAATGTAAGAATTAACTTGTTATATACTATTAATGTAAGAATTTTAGTACCCTAACTAGTTTATATGTATGCCAAATAATAAAATTATAAATTTAAAAGTCACTTTATGCACATGTAGCATGCTGCCAAATTTACTATTAGTGGCAAAAACTCTCTAACTGTAACGGTGTAAAGAAATTTTATCCTTAAATAAAAACATTCCATAGTAATACAAATTTAAAAGTCACTTTATGCACACATAACATGCATCTAACCTATTACCGGTGTCAAAATCTCTCTAAGTTAATGGTGTAAAGAAATTTTATCCTTAAATAAAACATTATATAACTTATCTCAAGTTTTCATCTAAATTTGGTAAAAAAAAAACTAAAATCTCATTTGTATAAGTGTTTGTAAATTGAAAATCTCTGTACAAGTGTAAGGTTTATTATAAGGAAAATAAAAATGCTGGTTCAAGTGCAGCGCAATATATCTTCTGCCCCACATTTTGTCTAGAAATGGCCGTGGGTTGAGGGTACGGGACCCCTCCCTTTTTCCCCGCCCTGCTGTCCACTAGTCCCCCCGACCCACAACCACCCCACCCTATCTCACGGGAACTAATAAAAATTTGTCCAATAATTATATTATAGCTAAATTTTAGTTAAGAATTAAGTACTTAAATACTAACTCATCACCAAGTCATTATTCACTTAAATTTCACAATTGAAACTCATAAAAATAATTCAAAAGTTATTTGAATACAATCCAACATGAATAGACAAATATAACTAAAACAGTCAAATTTTCACTTTTGAGATAAATAAAGTCACCCGCCCATTATTGTGTTCTTTTTTTTAGATAAAAAAGTGTTATTGTGTTAAGTGTAATTAAGAATTTAGTATAAATGTATTAGTAAATTTAGCATAACTAATTAATAATTTCTATTAGTAGACATGTATAATTATTAGTATAATTAATAATATTAATTATATTATATATATAATAATATACATTATATAATACTTGTAATTAATAATATCATTATTATAAATTTGTAACTAATTGAATTATATATATATATATATATTCACACTTTAACGGGGGCGGGACGGGGGATGGGGGAGTCTATTTTTTAACAGTAATAATATTATATATAATATATATATAATAATATACATTATATAATACTTGTAATTAATAATATCATTATTATAAATTTATAACTAATTAAATTATATATATATATATATTCACATTTTAACAGTGGCGGGACGGGAGATGGGGCGAGGGTATACTCCCATACCCCCTGTCCCATTTTTTAACAGGGAGATAATTTACCCGCCCCCACCCCTTTAACCTCCCGCTGGCACTCGCCCCAATTGCCATCTCTAATTTTGTCTCACTTCCTATTCCATTTCTAATATTGCCATATGTCCCTTAATAAAACAAATCCCAAAGCAGTTCAGACCATGCTAAGTTAACGGATTAATTGGGTACTTGTAAGAGATTGAGCCTCATTTATATAAAAGTCATGAATTGTATGAGAGTTATTTGTCTTACTCGTTACAGAGGCACTTAATGGAAGAGATCAAGATAATATATTTTTTCTTGAAAAATGTTATTTGTACTTTATTTTTTTATTATTTACATTTCCACTATTTGTTTTATTATATACTCTAATAAATGAAAACTATATGGTTGGAGTGTGATTAATAAAAATAAGAGTGTAAACAACATTTTGCTTTTTTTGGGTCAAAACAACAGCATTTCATTTACTTTTAGAAATAGTTACAAGGCTGATAGAGCAACTGGTCTTCTAGATTTGAGTAATCTCAAGCATCCAAACTGGAAAGTTTCCACTCCACTTTTTTACACGAGCATTTTGACCCGTGCATGCACAGGTTTATATTTCAATTCAAAACTATGATATATATTTATATATTGTAGTACAAGATAAAGTGTATGAAAAAGGTTTAAAAATTATACTAAATTTATAATATAGATTAAAATTTATAGCCGTATATTATATATTTTCAATTCATTTTCCTCCTCAATGGTATAATTTATGTCTTTTATATTATAAATTTTGATATATGGGTATAAATTTTAATCTATATTATTGACGAGTTTCAAATATGCACTCAAATTTAATTTCAAATACTCCCATTTATTTGCAAGTGTATAGGCCGTGATAATAGTTTAGCGAGTACAAGGGTCGATCCCACAAAGAGCTTAAATTTCAATTACTAGGACCTTACTTATTCTAATATTTAGACAATAATCAAATTTAGCAATAAAAAGCAATTATATCAAACAAACTAAAATTGTAAACTAAACTTGAAGATGAAAATCCTAGAGGAAAGATTACTAAATACAAAGTTCTAGGGTATAGATTCCACTAATGATCAAGAATATAAGTAAAATGATCATTCTCTTATTATTAACTCGTCTTGTTAGCAATGCATTTCCAAGGTTAATCAAGACTCACTCTCATGATGAATTGATCAATACTAACATTACACTTCCCTTTAAGTATATCACTACTCTCATGTGTCTATTTTTGTGACCTTCAAGCACTTTGAAAACATCAGAGTTAGTATTTGTTTGTATTTTAAAAGCATTGCAGCTGTTATATTTTGTCCCATCAGAGTTAAATATGTTTTTTGACTTTGTTTTCCACCTTTGATTAATGTAGTTATAATATTGTAAAATGGTAGGGAGACAAAAAGGCAATGTTGAAAAGAAATTATTTTCTCTCTCCTTAAATGAGTACTTTAATAATACATTTTAAATTGGGTTACAATGTTACAAAAATTTGAAAATAAGGGGAACAAGTGATTTTTTTTTTTTAAAAAAAAAACTTCAGGAATGCTGAATGACACCATCACAAACCTTCCTGACATTTCATTTCTCAAGTTATTCCTACTTAGAAATACCCAGACTAGGGAATCTTAACCATATATCATGCCCGTGAAAGGAGTCACCAAACAAAAAATGATCCAACTAGAAGTGTGAGACCATACAAAGCCAAAAGATTATTTTGCCATGGAATACTTTTGTGGAGAACATACAACTTGTATCCATAGAACAGCTTCAATATGTCGTGGAAGATGCACAAATGCTATCTAAACAAGTGTCCAACATCTCAAGAAAAAAAAAAAAAATTTATCCCAAGAAATCGCTGAACAAGGTAAAAGGTGGGAGTATATCACTAGTTCAAAAAATAAATGTGTTTGATTATTCAAGCAGTGGTAGTCGCATGTCCTTCATCTGTTGAATCATCATATTCGTCTAGCAATGGAGCATTTCTGCTGGCAGATTCCCTAAAAATAGTACCACTTTGTGATTTGTCTCCACTTGCTTCTTGTGCTTTTGCCCATATTAGAACATAAAACCCAATCGATATGATCAATGATCCGATCACGCTGCAAATTAGCAAAACATCTGATATAAATGCTCTTCTATATATAAGAAGGAAGTGTACATATATATATGAGTAAATCTTATATACACTGAAAGTGTATACACTATCACCGTTAAATTCATGATATTTGTGTAAAAGTTGAATTTCAAAGGGATTGAGGAAGGTGGGTTAGGGTTCTGTATATTTCTAAATGGTTGATGCATATTTCTATACATTTGCCGTTCTCACAATTGAGAATTAGACAAATATTGATAGGAGTGTATATCTAAACGTGTTTGAAAAAAAAAAAGTACAAAAGTTGCACGACAGCACCAAAATCTAAAATCATGAGCATGTGAGATGTACCTTCCGAGGTAGAGATTATCGCCAAGAAAAATGAAGCCCAGAATTGCAGCAATGGCAATTGATAATGGCCTAAATGAAGCTACATATACAGGTCCTTTTACATGTAAGCACCAAGTATGAACAAGAATAACGAAGCCTGTCCCCAATACTCCCTAAGCCAAAAAGAAAAAAGAAAAAATTTCAGTGCATCGATTCGATATGATTTCCATTCCAACTAGCTGTATGAGCAGTAAGTAGCAGATATAAGTAGCCTGGGAGATAGATTTCTATTTTGAAATTCTAGCAGTAACTCAAAAAAAATTAGGTTTATGTGCTCACCGCATACAAAACCGCGTACAACTGCACATCCAGTTTGAATATATTCCAAGCACTTGAAATTGGTACCTCGATTAAACAAATGGGTGCTGCTATGATCATACATGATAAGTTGTAGAAGAAGACCACAACCAGTTCTGCTGGGTACTCCCCAATAGCCTTGGCCTGAAAGTGGTGGACTCAAGACCCCAAGATTAGTAGGTGAATGCTCTAATTGCACTACACAAAGGCTATAATTTTTTTAATAAAACAAGTTGCTCTATGAAAAAACAATAGCCAGCCAGCATGATGATTGCATCAATTTTACAAAATTGTAAAGAGTTTTAAGACAATAACAATATCAGAAACAACTGCACCATAAGTCTTTTCTTTACGATAGAGCAATCTGGTACAAAAAAATGAGAGTTCCAAATGAATATTATGCTTTCATTCTCATGTAATTCTTATTTCGTGTCGAAATTCTTATTTTTTCGAAAAGTGGGAGATAATAGCAAAGGCTTCAAGAATATAACGGGGCAATGTGAAGAGAAAAAAAAAAAGATTCTATCGAAATTCAAGGGGGTGCAATAGTAGGACAAATTTAATAAATTTTAAAATTGAAAAGGACAATTTTGGCTTTTAACATGTTACCTGATAAATATACCAAAGGGAGGCTACTACATATTCAGCAGCGAGGATGGCACCCCCTTTGACCCAATTTGACTGTTTGGTGCCAGTGGTGAGTGTAACTAGTGCTGCCTGTGCAAAAACAGAAGCTGAAGATGCAGGGCTCCTTAGTAGCACTGGGCCTTTGTACAGAACCACCACAAGGGCTCCTGCAATCGTTATTGCACACCCTATTATCTTAACTTGGCTACTCAGGCTCTTCATTTCTAGCTTTTCCATCCTGATCATGACAAGAAATATCAATTGGCCCAAGTATTCCCTCATTATTTTGAAAAAACAAAGGCAACCATTGAAAGCAAATAAAAGTGGGGAAATAATTTTTAGTATTTACATTTAGATAGCAAATTAGTTGAATTAACAATGATTAGAAAAACTCATGCTGGAACAATCATTTATGACTTTAGTGTCGAAAATCCATTATTACATCTCGCTTGCTCCAAAACAAGCATGAAGAGTAGCGAAAATGGCTAATCACTTTAGAAAGAAAAGCAAAATAGGACCTGAAGAGGACGGCCAGGACAAATGTGGAAGCCGGTGCAATATTGCTCATGGCGGAAGCCAATGTTGGTGTACTATACTCGATTCCTGTATTTCCAAGATATTGAGCTACAAAGCTAAAATTACATTTCAAAACAAAAGTCTGATAAGCTCCTTTAGAACAAACATTTAAACAAATTACCAGGGTTCATATCAGAAAGCATTCTGCTTTATGTGTGTGTAATGCTTTCTGATATGAACCCTGATATATAGACACAAACACACAGACCCAAGAAGCCCGAGGGAGAAAAATCTAGCAAGGAGGCCAAAGGTAAATGGAGGAAGCCGAGAATTCCTGTTAACATTAAGAAATAAGAAAAGAATGCATAAGTTACTACTTGCTAGTTTGATTATTACAGGGAGAGGAAAATTATGAAGGCTTGTGATTTAGGATTGTAGATTACCTGTGGAAGAAGTAGCAAAGAGGGAGGAGAAGAAGAGCTGCTATCCCATAGGAATAAAGCATGAAAACGTGATAGTTCAGACCCTTCACTGTGGCCGCTTTGAAGATGGTGTTCATACCAACATTGATGCACTCCATTGTAACCATGGCTGTGAAAGGAAAAACCTCTCCATACCAACAAGTTCGTTTCCAGCTCCCCATCTTCCGTTCTTTCCTTCTTTGGATGCAAATGTATATTATCGCTCCTATTTATGCTTTTAAGTTTTAGTGGTTCATGCACTAGAGGCCATTATTCTAATTGGTTATATATGAATTTTTGTTTTTAGAAGAAGAGATGCATGCATCCAATTCCATCAAGCCTTTGTCACACCCAAAACCAATCAAGATTAGTGTCGAACAGATTAGCTGAGGAAAAAAGCTCATAGATCCCCAAAAAAAAAAAAGAGCCTACAAGATTCGATTAGATCAGAACTAATTCACACTACTTTAATGCTGAAAATAATGTCATAGGATCATCTTGCAATCTTGTTGAATAGGGTACATTTAGTAAATATGGTACATGAATCAAGTGCAATTTTTATTTTGGTTCAAATGAACATATAGTATATACAAGGATGGAATTAAGAATAGGTTAATGTTGCGCCCTATTTTTTAACTAAACATGAAAATACAAATAAATATAATAACCTAATTTGAAAATGATTTTTTTGTGGACTTTTTAAAAAATAAAAGTAAAGAAAAAGAAAAGGTAGGTAAAGAAAAGGAACTAATATCCGACTTGGTAAAGGTCCGGCCGAGTAAAAGTCTAGAAAAAGGGTTTTTTAAAAGAAAATTAAAATTTCCACTTAGTATTGAATTTAAGTGTACTGAGTCACCTATGAAAAAAGTAATTTTCGTTTTTAGAATGGGATAATTTCACAAACCTCCTCTGAGGTTCACCTAAATGTCACTTAACATCTTTGTATTTTTAAAAATCTCTCTTACCTCCCCTATCAGATTGACTAGACAAGATGTCTCCATCACGGGTGGTAAACTGACCACATTACTCTACTAGAAACCCCTAATTGATTAATTAAAATTTGCACAAAAGAAAACGAATTTGGAGAGTAAAAAAATCAAGACACAATTAACAAAACTAATTATAATAACGACTTTTTTTTCCTTGTAGCAATAAAAGACAAAGAATTTCTGACGTTACTATTACCTAACACATAAAACAGACATTGGAGGCAAATATAGCTCATTTGGATTTCTTTCATTCTCTGAAATCTTGGTTGTCGCTTTCCTGTTGTAACCATAATATAAATTCTTTATATTAAATGATGTTGGTGAATTATAAGAGCCCCTTTGAATGTTAGAACTTGTTACGATTTGTTACAATATCTTCTACTAATTTCCTCTTTTTGAAATTGCTCATTTTGCGTTAACTTGTATTTCTTATTTTGTTGTCTTGCTGCCTTTATAATCTTAGAGTTGGAGTACTAGTCATTGCAAACTTGTAAAACTACTTATATGCTTCAACCTCTCTTTATTGCACTTACTTCACTTGCAATTTGAGTTTTCCCCATTAGGTTTATTTTGGTCTTAAATGCTGCTCTAATATATATAAAAAGGACAACAAATGGGTACAAATGGAAGAAAATCGTTATCTCTCATCTTTTATGAATATTTAAACGCACAAGAGTTGATGATGCTACAAAATATGTCAATCAAGGGGAGGTATAGGAGAGATTTTTGAAACCACGAGAGAGCTAAGTGATATTAAGGCAAACCTCAGGGGAGGTTTGTCCAATTATCTCTTTTTGAAATGCAAATTAAACCTTTTAACTAAACAATTGCAGGTTTTTCGAAGTCTAAGAAATGAATTCGAGAATTACATTTGTGATGGAGGAAGATCAGGAATTTTCCCTCAAACACCTCCCTACATCCAGTAAAATCAGTAGTGAGATTAGTTTCACTCTTCTAATCTCAATGTCAAAATGAGCTAATTTTAGCTGCACAACTAACATGCATTTAATTAACATAAAAAAATCTACACACATAAAAGTCAAATAAAATAAGGAGATGTTTAATTCCAAAGCTTCTTTCAGAAAAATCATAGAATAATGCGCTCTTGACTTACTCAATCACATTCCATAACAATAAAAAAAAAAATAGTACGTAAAAAAGGAAGGAGAAAAATAAATTACAAAATTAAAAAAAAATAGAAGAATTCTATGTCCCATAAGGTTACTTCAAGTCAGAAAGAAAATTCAAGTGCCTAATTCAATTTACAGCTGTAAAAAGCAAAACGAAAAGGATATCAGGGATTTCACCGTGCTTGTCAGGTGTATTGTGGTGGTGGTGGTGGCATTCCAGCGGCTTCCACGGCAGCAACTCCAGTAGTCTCAACTCCTCCTGTGTTCCCCGTTTATTTTGTTCTGCTTTGTCCCTTTTTTATATACATATATTTCTCTTGACTGAAGTCTTAATGGGCACTTTTCGAAAGAAAACTTTCAAGAGGAAGGAAAAAAAATGGTTTTTGGACTGGTAGAGTTGAATGCTTCTGATGATGATGACTGAGCGGAGACGATGAAGAACGTGAATGATACGTTGATTAGAGCAAGGGGAAAGAAGGACTGCTTGATGAAGACGAATGATGGATGGTTCCCTCATGGAGGGTCGATGATCAATTTCCATTCGGATAATATCAGTCAAAGCCTCCTTTGAGGTTTCTCCTAATATCAGCTGACACCCAAAAGTTTTAAAAATATCACTTACTTCCCTTAGTAATTGCAAAAAAACTATATTAATTTTCACTTGATACATAATTGATATATCAAATAAATGAAACTTAAATTTTTTTTAAAAAAAAAAGAAACAGAAGTCATTTTTTTTCTCTTTTCTTTTTCTCCAACATTCTCTCTTACTCATTTTTTGGATGATTATGCAATTTTTTATTTGTAAGTTATAATAAATTGAATTTTGTTTATCTTTAACAAATAATCCAAAAATTATGTATTCAAAATATTACAAAAAATGAACTTTAATACCATAAGATTCTCAACAACCAACCTAAATATATTGACAAGATTATTTATGATGTTAATGTTTGTTTCTCTTTAATATTTTGGGTGTAAATTTTTTTATTATTTATTGTTAATCATGTTTGACAATGGGTATGTAACTGAAAAGAGTAATTTGAATCTTGTATTAAGTGAAAAATATAATATAATATACTATTTTTGATATTATAGATGATTTGATCTTTAATGATAAATAACAAATTTAAGTGTTTTTCTTTAATATGTGGATTGATATTAAATTAATTAAATAATGTCATAGATGAAGGGCAATGATAGAATCATATTATCTTTTCTCTTCTAATATTACTTTTTCATTAGCAATTGGGTCTGAATGTTATAAAATAATTACCGTCAAAGGAGATTAGTATAATTTTTAAAATTTAAAGGGAGGCTAGTGAATAGTCAAAACTTCATGAGAGGTTTCTCAAATTATCCCTTAATAAAAAGTGCTTATCAAATGTTTGAGTGATTTTAAGTACATTGTTTAAATACATAGTTCAATAAATATTTATTATATTAAATAATGTATAATTTAAAAATTTTTAAATATATTTATCTCTTTATTTAGTTCATAATATAGGATAAAATAATTAAATTTAATATTTATTTTTAAGATACAAAAGAGTATCAAATTTGAATTTTTTACTAAAGGTGCTTTTAGCATCAAAAGTTTTGCTTATAATTTTATAAGATGATATTCATCAAAAGTTTTAAAAGTACCTTTAATACTCAAAAGTTTTTTTTTTAATCAAAAACACCGCACCCTTAAACGAATCTAAAAATACTTTAGCACTTGAACGCTCTTTTTTTGGTAAATGCATCGCAATTTTGAAATTTTTTTATCATAATAATAATATTTGTATAATTTATTTTAACATAATCTAAAAAAAGAAAAGCCAGGAATTTCGTTGGAAATCATAATTAAGTGACAATAATAATTAAGCGTCGAGACATCCTAGCAAGACTTAAATGTTTTGATGGTACCAATCGTCCAAGAGGTTGATGCCGTCGCAATTCTGAACATCGACCTCAATTTTCTACCGAATATTAGGGGGGAAGGAGGTTTTTTTGTTGAACAAACAATAGTATATGGTGAGAAAAAAATAAAACTTAGTATGAAAAGGTAAACGATATAATCAATCAATTCACACAGCGTTACAATAAAACTGTGTCAAATTGAAGGTCGTTGGTAATGCAGAAAGGCAGAGCAACACAGAAAGTTAACCTTATTGCAGAATCTCCATTGAGAGCTCTTGCTTGCTATTGCTGCAAACCTATAAGATTATAACCAACCCAGACCATTTGAGGTTAGACAACGCAATAAGAGTCGCTAATTGTAGGTACTAAGAACACACCGACATAATTAAGGGAGGAGCTGAAAAATTGGGGGAGGGTGAAATCTAACCTCACGTTGAACCACCAGGAGTAGCTGGAACTGAAGAGCATTTTAAGCTGATTAGTATGAAGCCAGATAGAATTATTCCAATCCTAGAATGCGAATAGGGAGAAACTGATAATCAACCATTTAGGCATTGACATTAGGGGTGGCAATTTCCGATACGACCTGAAAACATGACACGAACCTAACACAAAATTAATGGATTTGGGTTGAGGTTTCGCGGGTTCGGGTCAGAATCGGATCGAACCCCGATGGGTCCAAAAAGAAAATAGGTCGAATTCGGATTAACCCGTGGGTGACATGATATGACCCGATAACCGGTTTTATGAATTAAAAATAATTCAACAAACATAAAAATTATTTTATTTAACTAAACTAAGTTATTCTTTTTTTTCAAAGGCATTAATCACTTAGTCTTAAATAAATTTATTTAACTTATGTGAAGTTGAAATTATTATATTTGGACAAATAATGTATTATATTATTTTTTACTTTTATACTGTTTTAATTTATTTTATATTTGGTTTGGGATAAAACACTTTTACAGTGTTTTAATTTATTTTAGATTTGGTTTGGGATTATTTATTTAAATTTTTATTACTTGATTATTTAATTAGTCTTGTACAAAATTGATTTTATTAGAAATTACAGTGATAAATTAATAAATTAAAATTAAGTTTCGAATCATTTTGGGTCGACTCGTCAACCCGCCAATTCAAAATTTTTGGGTTTGTGTCTAGTATTCTGATCCGTTTCTGGTTGGCGGGTTAGGTTCAGGTTAGTGGGTTTTTCTGTTATACCCGAGTCTTAACCCGACCTGCCAACCCGAAACGGATCCGATTGCCACCCCTAATTAACATACCAACGGTTGGGCAATTGAATTGGGTGTAATTAATGACGAAATAATAGATAATTTCAGAGTTGATCTTGGATGGAAGAGAAAACGATGAGGCAAATCGTTGTAGATAAAGACAAAAAGGGAAAACTTAACTCCTGAAACTGAAAGGGGATAAACTGACCAACGTTTGTGGCTCATAAATGCAGATTATAAATGATAGAGAAATGGATTCCTACCATTGATAGAGAAATCGTTGGCTCATTTCCTAAATTCGATTGCCATTCAAACGCTTCAGACAAAGCAACATCTCAAACGGTTATTTGCAGCTGAAAAGGGGAATTATTG